CACCTTCTGTCTCATTTTTTTTTTTCTCATTTTATTTTGGAGGGTTGGTACAACTTTTGAAATTTCAATGATAAGAACAAATCTATTAGCTGTTGACTTCTTCTCAAAAGGCACTCTAACCTTTCAGAAAGCCTAGAAGTTTCATTTTTCAAGAATAATCTTATTATGAAAAAAGTAAGACACAGACAATTAATAGATAAGAAACAAATCAAAGAAAAAGAAGAAATCAAGTGTTCTGAAATATTTGGTAAATTGAGTTTGTTCAAGATTAAGAAACCTAAACTTCTCATTGTAAATAGAAAAGGTACAAGTCCTTTCATAATATATTGTCTATTTACTCTTGGGCCTGTGATCAAAGAGTCAACACTTAGGGTTTTGGTGATGCTGGTAATGATGAAATAAGACAACACTGGGGCAAACACTGTTACGGCCAATGACCTATGCATCCAAGGCAGCTTCTTCAGCTTCAAGTTGGGACAGTCAAGCACCAAGAAGAGGATCTACAACAGCGTCTTGGTATTGGTGGTAACAGAGCAGCAATCTGCCTGAGGCTCTGCAAGCCTATAACATTCTTTTTAACATCCCCAAGCTAGAAATATGTAAAATGTCCATAAGCCATAGAAAAAATAAATAATGTATGGCTTTTTTTTTTTTTACAATAGAATACTAATATTGCAAAGAAAATGAACAATGGCTATACACTATAACATGAATGAATCTTGCAGACAAAGTTATAAGGCAAACACAAGGTATAAATACTGATTATATTTTTGAAATATGAAAAATAGGGGAGACAACTATATTGTGTGGGATTATAAATAGTTGATAAAACTATAAAGTAAAGCAAGAGAGTTATTACCAAAATTAGTGGTTACTACTGGGGTGGTAAGGTGATGGGATTATGATGGGGACAAAGTACACAGGGGCCACTAGTGTGCTGGCATTGTTCTATTTCTTGTCCTGGGTAGTGTTTAGATGTCTATTTACTTTATGACAATTAGGTAAACTGCATGTTTTATGCATTTTCTAAGTGTTATATTTTATAATACAATGATTTAAAAAGCAATAAATTAGTATTTTGGTTTTTTTTTTAAAAGAAAAAGTGATATTTTCATTTTTATTTATTTATTTATTTATTTATTTATTTATTTTTTGAGACAGGACCTCATTCTATTACCCAGGCTGGAGTGCAGTGGTGTGATCACAGCTCACTGCAGCTTCAAATCCCTGGGCTCAAGCAATCCTCTTGCCTTGGCCTCCCAAAGCCCTAGGACTGTAGGCTTGAGCCACTGCACCCAGTCAATATTTTTATTTTTTTAATTTTTAATTAATTAATTAATTTTATTTTTAAATTATACTTTAAGTTATGGGATACATGTGCAGAACGTGCAGGTTTGTTACATATGTATGCATGTGCCATGTTGGTTTGCTGCACCCGTCAACCCATCATCTACATGGGGTATTTCACCTAATGCTATCCCTCCCCTTGTCCCCCACCCACTGACAGGCCCCGGTGTGTGATGTTCCCCTCCCTGTGCCCATGTGTTCTCATTGTTTAACTCTCACTTATGAGTGAGAACACGCAGTGTTTGGTTTTCTGTTCCTGTGTTAGTTTGCTGAGAATGATGGTTTCCAGTTTCATCCATGTCCCTGCAAAGGACATGAACTCATCCTTTTTTATGGCTGCATAGTAGTCCATGGTGTATATGTGCCACATTTTATTTATCCAGTCTATCACTGATGGACATTTGGGTTGGTTCCAAGTCTTTGCTACTGTGAATAGTGCTGCAATAAACATACGTGTGCATGTGTCTTTACAGTAGAATGATTTATAATCCTTTGGGTATATACCCAGTAATGGGATTGCTGGGTCAAATTGTATTTCTGGTTCTAGATCCTTGAGGAATCGCCACACTGTCTTCCACAATGGTTGAACTAGTTTATACTCCCACCAACAGTGTAAAAGTGTTCCTATTTCTCCACATCCTCAGCAGCATCTGTTGTTTCCTGACTTTTTAATGATCACCATTCTAACTGGCATGAGATGGTATTTCACTGTGATTTTGATTTACATTTCTCTAATGGCCAGTGATGATGAGCTTTTTTTCATATGTTTGCTGGCTGCATAAATGTCTTATTTTGAGAAGCGTCTGTTCATATCCGTCACCCACTTTTTGATGGGGTTGTTTTTTTCTTCTAAATGTGTTTAAGTTCCTTGTAGATTCTGGATATTAGCCCTTTGTCAGATGGATAGATTGCAAAAATTTTCTCCCATTCTGTAGGTTGCCTGTTCACTCTGATGATAGTTTCTTTTGCTGTATAGAAGCTCTTTAGTTTAAAAAATATGGAATGCTTCACAAATTTGCATGTCATCCTTGCGCAGGGGCCATGATGATCTTCTCTATATCATTCCAGTTTTAGTATATGTGCTGCTGAAGCGAAATTTTTGTTTCTTAATCAGTCTCATAAATAGGCCTAACAGTAGCTAGAGACTCAAGTTTGATAATTTGAATGGAATTTTTTTTTTTTTGAGACAGATTCTCACTCTGTTGCCCAGGATGGACTGCAGTGGCCCGATCACGGCTCACTGTAACCTCTGCCTCCTGGGTTCAAGCAATTCTCGTGTCTCAGTCTCCCGAGAAGCTGGGACTACAGGCATGTGCTACCATACCCAGCTAACTTTTTTTTTTTTTTTTTTTTAATTTTTAGTCGAGATGGGATTTCACCATGTTAGCCAGGCTGGTCTCAAACTCCTGAGCACTTTAAGTGATTTGCTCACCTCAGCCCCACAAAGTGCTAGGATTATAGGTGTCAGCCACTGCACTGGCCTTGAGTGGATTTTTAAAAGTGAGTACTAAGTTTGTAAAGCTGAGGTTCCAAAATGACCCAAATTGAGGAGGGATAAAATATGGAAAGATGTCTACACAGGAAAGAGAGGAACAGACTTGAGTTTAAGTTCTGACTACAATTTGTTAGCTTTGCAGTTTTGAACAGTTTCCTCATCCATAAAGTGCTCACCGTTTAGGGTTGTGAGGCTGTTCATAAGAGATAAAGTGGACAGGCTGGACCCAGTGGCTCACACCTGTAATCCCAGCACTTTGGGAAGCTAAGCCGGGAGGATCACCTGAGGTCAGGAGTTCAAGACCAGCCTGGCCAACATGGTGAAACCCTACCTCTACTAAAAATACGAACATTATCTGGGTGTGGTGACGTGCGCCTGTAATCCCAGCAACTCAGGAGGCTGAGGCAGGAGAATCTCTTGAACCTGGGAGGTGGAGGTTGCGGTGAGCAGAGATCATGCCACTGCACTTCAGCATGGGCGACAGAGCGAGATTCCGTCTCAGAAACAAACAAACAAAAAGAGATAAAGTGGACAAACTTTCAATAAAGGATACTCATCGTATATAACTTTCTTAGGTGCCTGGCCTAAGGAGCTAATCAAGAGGCTGATGTCTTATTCCTAAATGGCCAATAATTTGTCTCACCACGGAGATTAAAATAGATAAAAAAACTTTTTTTTTTTTTTTTTAAATTTACTGCATGCTCTTTACAAACAGTGAAAAATAAAAATCTTCTCTTGCTACCAAGCTATCATTTATCCATCCCTGAAAGACTATTCATTAATCCAATAAATATTTATAGGGTACCAATCATATGTAAGGCATTATAATCTGTGTAGTTATGGCCATTGTTCCTTAAGAAATATGTAGTATTGTTAGAATATGTTCCGAGTTGGACAGTTAAAATGATCTAAGAAATGCCCTTGAAGGGAAAGTGAAAGACTATCTTATGAAAACATATGGTAAAGATTTAGAATTTAATTTAAAACTACAAAGGCTTGAAGGAAGATGAACAGTCTTCAAAAACTCATGAAGGGTGAGGACAGGGAAGAGGTTTATTCAAATAATCCTGGAATACTAGAACTCCCTTAGAAGGCCTTCCTTGAAGTTTGGGATAAACGGATATTCGTTTTCCTCTATATCTCCCCTACTAGACTGTAAGCTCTTGAAAAGTAGGGACCTTTCTTATTCATGTTTATGTCACTTTTCAAATAAGATCATTTTATCCCGCTAGACCAGTGTGGGCAAACTTTTCTCATAAAGGGTCAGGTAGTAAACATTTTAGACCATGTGGGTCACGTGGTTTCATCACAACTATCAAATCTGTTACTGTAGCACAAAAGCAGCCATAATATATAAACAGACAGATACGGCTGCCAATAAAACTTTATTTATAAAAACAGAAGGCAGACAGAATTTGACCTACATGCCAAAGTTTGTGACCCCTCCACCATGGGTATAAGGATTGTGTCTATTGTGCCTACCATTAAACTCTCAGTGTCTATAAGATTGCATATGAATATTGAATGTTGAATTTTAGAACCTTCAATAGAGGCTTATAGAAACTAAGTCCTAAATATATATATTTACAGAATTGAACCATAATTAAGAGGAAGTACTATTTTACATGGAGGTTAATTTTAAACATTTATGTGGTTCAAAAAATTTAGTTGAATCTGTGTATGGCAGTTCTACATAGATTATTTTTAAACAAGCATTTGGGAGATGTTGCCTTAACTATTTCATGCTGTTGTATTAGGAAGAACAACTTTGCTCTCCCATGAATTGTATCTTGGTGCAGTTGAGATCTGATTGAACCAATAATAATGGATACATCTAATAGGGATAAATAAGTCTAGTGATACACAGGGCAGGACAACCAGGGTTTAGGGCTCAGGTCACTGAAGTTTAGTAAGTACTAAAAATATTAGATAGTGTTTTCAGAAGATTATGTAATGTAATGCCTTTTTCTATTTACAGGTTGATAATATACACATTCTTTCTTTGCAGGGAAAAGTTAAAGGAGGAAGTTACCAGATAGCTCACATTGTCCACACATTTGTGGAGCCCAGCATGAATTATCAAGTAGAGGAACTTAAATTCGTTTATTCCCAGGGCCAACTGAAACCCTTCCATAAAGCATGTGCCCACAAAAGTTACCTTAATGTTTTCTTCCTGAAGTAAGCTATTATGTTGCTTTAAGTCCAAGTTCTTCCCTCGTTCATATCGAAGCTCATTTTCAGCTGAGTTGCATAGAATCTGGAGCCGGTGCAAATTCTGGTGAAGTTGTTGTACTTCCCCTTGCTGGTTGTATTTTAGTTTATCTCCAGATGATGGATACTAAAGCAAACATTTTAAAAGAGAAAAAACAGACAATTGGAAAGAATATTGGTAAAACATGGGTTCAAGTTGTCCGAACCAGAATCGTCAGAATGTGATTATTCACATGTAAATGTTTTTGGAATTAGCTTATCTACAACAAACTACTCTTTTACATTTATGGATAGTTGATACATATTCATATAATCTGTTATATTAGAGTGAAAATAACAATAAAATTATATTAACAAAAGCAGCAGGCACAGACAACTTACCTTATTTTTCATATCAATGATAGAAGCACAGATAATTTTAGAGTAAAACACATTTAAAATGGGGAGTTCAAAGAGTCTATATGTTAAGAAGTAGAGTGTGAATGTGTGTGTGTGTGTCTGTGTGTGTGTGGTGTCCGTTGGCAAAAGGAAAGAGGAAACTTGGTAAGACACCTTAAGTTTCTAGTCTTCCTCATCACTTTATTTCCCGATGATTTTTCTCCCATAAAACACATTATTTCAAGGCTGAATAATATTGCATCATGTGCACACACACACACCTTGCAGATATCTCTTTGACACACTGGTTTCAAATCCCTTGGATATACACCTGGAAGTAGAATTGCTGGATCATATGGGTAGCTCTATGTTTAATTTTTTGAGGAACCTCCATACCACTTTCCATATTGGCTGTACTAATTTACATTCCCACCCACAGTGTCGAAGTGTTCTATTTTTTCCATATCCTTGCCAACACTTACCTTTTGTCTTTTTGATAAAAGCCATTCTAATAGATGTGAGGTGATATTTCATTGTGGTTTTAATTTGCTTTCCCTAATAATTCACAGCATTGAACATTTTTTCACATACCTGTTGGCCTTTTGTATGCCTTCTTTTGAGAAAAGTCTATTTGCATCTTTTGCCTATTTTAAAATTGGATTATTTGTTTTCTTGCTATTGAGTTGAGTTCCTTATATATTTTGGATATTAACCCCTTATCAGATGTATGATCTACAAATATTTTTGCCCATTCTGTAGGTTGTCTCTTTACTCTGTTGATTGTTTCCTTTGCTGTGCAGAAGCTTTTTAACTTGACACAACCCTATTTGTCTATTTTTGCTTTTAGAGTCACATCCAAAAAATCTTTGCCAAGAAAAATGCGAAACATTTTCCGTAAGTGTCAATCAATGGATGAATGGAAAAGAAAATATAGTATACACACACACCACACACACACGTACAATGCAAAACTGTTCAGCCTTTATAAGGACAGAAATCCTGTCATTTGTCATAACATGAATGAACTTAGAGAGCATTATGCTAAGTGAAATAAGCCAGGCACAGAAAGACAAATACTGCATGATCTCACGTATACGTGGACTCTAAAAAGTTGAACTCATAAAGCTGAACTCACAGAAGCAGCAAGTAGAATGGTGGTTGTGAGGCTGGGGAGGGGAGGCATGGAATGGAAAGATGCTAGTCAAAGGGTGCAAAGTTTCAGATAGATAGGATAAATTCTGGATATGTATTATATGGCATAGTGACTATACTTAATAATAATGTGCTGTATACTTGAAAATTGTTAGAAGAGTAGATCTTAAATGTTCTCACCACAAAAAAGTATGTGAGATGATAGACATGTAACTTAGCTTGATTCAATCATTTCACAATGTATACATAAATCAAAACATCTGGTTGTACACGACAAATACACAACATTTGTCAATAATCCTGAATAGGCTGGGCACGGTGGCTCACGCCTGCAATCCCAGCACTTTGGGAGGCCAAGGTGGGTGGATCACCTGAGGTCAGGAGTTCAAGACCAGCCTGGCCAACATGGTGAAACCCTTAGCTGGGCGTGGTGGCGCGCACCAGTAGTCCCAGCTACTTGGGAGGCTGAGGCATGAGAATTGCTTGAACCCAGGAGGTAGAGATTGCAGTGAGCCAAGATCATGCCATTGCACTTCAGCCTGAGTGACAGAGAGAGACTCTGTCTCAAAAAAAAAAAAAAACAAAAAAAATCCTGAACAAAGCTGTAAAAAAAAGCACATGTATCAAACACCAGCAATACACTTTCCTATCAGGCTTCTCCAGTGAAATAAGAGAATAGTCATTTGGATTTTCTACAAAAGGTAGGCACAAGTAGGTATGCTGAATAGATAAAGAATTCAATCTTATACAATTCAATAGATAAGATATTCTTAGAGTTTCCTTAGTCCTGGTCCAGTATGCTCCTGTCTACAACTTTCTAAAAAGCCCATATCATTATTTTAGTTTTATCTTGCTTATGTCCCTAAAGTAACACAGAAGCCCTCAAGTCCTATTAGCTCTTCAATTCCTACTTTGGTTTAGCTAGAAAGGCAATCTAAATACAATCTGCTTTTCTTTGAGCTGCAAGACTCTAAGATCCCTAGGGAAAAAAATCTTCAATGGGTTATAATGTAATTATGAATTTTTTTTTTTTTTTTTTTTTGAGACAGAGTCTAGCTTTGTCGCCCAGGCTGGAGTGCAGTGGCGTGATCTCGGCTCACTGCAACCTCTGCCTCCTGGGTTCAAGCAATTCTCCTGCCCCAGCCTCTTGAGTAGCTGGGATTACAGATGCACGCTACCATGCCCAGCTAATGTTTGTATTTTCAGTAGAGATAGAGTTTCACCATGTTGGTCAGGCTGGTCTCCAACTTCTGACCTCATGTGATCCACCTGCCTCAGCCTCCCAAAGTGCTGGGATTACAGGCATGAGCCACAGTGCTCAGCCACTTTTTTTTTTTAAACTTCTTCTAAAAATATCCCCAGGATACATATGCAGAATGTGCAGGTTTGTTACATAGGTATACGTGTGCCATGGTGGCTTGCTGCACCTATTGACCTATCCTCTAAGTTCCCTCCCCTCACCCCCTACCCCCAACAGGTCCTGGTGTGTGTTGTTCCCCTCTCTGTGTCGATGTGTTCTCAATGTTCAACTCCCTCTCATGATTGAGAGAACATGTGGTGTTCGGTTTTCTGTTCCTGTGTTAGTTTGCTGAGGATGATGGCTTCCAGCTTCATCCATGTCCCTGCAAAGGACATGATCTCATTCCTTTTTATGGCTGCAAAGTATTCCATGGTGTATATGTACTATATTTCCTTTATCCAGTCTATCATTGATGAGCATTTGAGTTGGTTCCATGTCTTTGCTATTGTAACCAGTGCTGCAATAAACATTCGTGTGCATGTGTCTTTACAGTAGAATGATTTATATTTCTTTGGGTATATACCCAGTAATGGGATTGTTGGGTCAAATTGTATTTCTGCTTCTAGATCCTTGAGGAATTGCCATGCTGTCTTCCACAATGGTTGAACTAATTTACATTCCCATCAACAGTGTAAAAGCACTCCTATTTCTCCACAGCCTTACCAGCATCTATTGTTTCCTGACTTTTTAATAATCGCCACTCTGACTGGCGTGAGATGGTATCTCATTTTGGTTTTGATTTGCATTTCTCTGATGATCAGTGATGTTGAGCTGTTTTTCATATGTTTGTTGGCCACGTAAATGTCTTCTTTTGAGAAGTGTCTGTTCATATCCTTCACCCACTTTTTGATGGGGTTGTTTATTCTTGTAAATATGTTTAAGTTCCTTGTAAATTCTGGATATTAGACCTTTGTCAGATAGGTAGATTGCAAAATTTTTCTCCCTTTCTGTAGGTTGCCTGTTCACTCTAATGATAGTTTCTTTTGCGGTGCAGAAGCTCTTTAGTTTAATTAGATCTCATTTGTCAATTTTGGCTTTTGTTGCAATTGCTTTTGGCATTTTTGTCATGAAGTCTTTGCCCATGGCTATGTCCTGAATAGTATTGCCTAGGTTTTCTTCTAGGGTTATTGTGGTTTTGAGTTTTACATTTAAGTCTTTAATCCATCTTGAGTTAATTTTTGTTTAAGGTATAGGGAAGGGGTCCAGTTTCATTTTTCTGCATATGGCTAGCCAGTTTTCCCAGCACCATTTACTGAATAGGCGATCCTTTCCCCATTGCTTGTTTTTGTCAGGTTTGTCAAAGATAAGATGGTTGTAGATGTATGGTGTTATTTCTGAGGTCTCTATTCTGCTCCATTGGTCTATATTTCTGTTTTGGTACCAGTACCATGCTGTTTTGGTTACCGTAGCCTTGTAGTATGGTTTGAAGTCAGGTGGTGTGATGCCTCCAGTTTTGTTCTTTTTGCTTAGGATTGTCTTGGCTATACGGGGTCTTCTTTGATTCCATATGAAATTTAAAATAGTTTTTCTTTCTAATTCTGTGGTAGTTTGATGGGAATAGCATTGCATCTATAAATTACTTTGGTCAGTATGGCCATTTTCATGATATTGATTCTTGCTATCCATTAGGATGGAAAGTTTTTCCATTTGTTTGTGTCCTCTCTTATTTCCTTGAGTGGTAGTTTGTAGTTCTCCTTGAAGAGGTCCTTCACATCCCTTGTTAGCTGTATTCCTAGGTATTCTCTTTGTAGTGATTGTGAGTGGGAGTTCATTCATGATTTGACTCTCTGCTTGCCTATTGTTGGTGTAAAGGAATGCTTGTGATTTTTGCACATTGATTTTGTATCCTGAGACTTTGCTGAAGTTGCTTATCAGTTCAAGAAGTTTTTGGGCTAAGATGATGGGTTTTTCTAAATATAAAATCATGTCATCTACAGAGATAACTTGACTTCCTCTCTTTCTATCTGAATACCTTTATTTCTTTCTCTTGCCTGACTGCTCTGGCCAGAACTTCCAATACTATATTGAATAGGTGTGGTGAGAGAGAGCATCCTTGTCTTGTACTGGTTTTCAAAGGGAATGCTTCCAGCTTTTGCCCATTCAATATTATATTGGCTGTGAGTTTGTCATAAATAGCTCTTTATTATTTTGAGATATGTTCCATCAATACCTAGGTTATTGAGAGTTTTTAACATGAAGGGATGTTGAATTTTATCAAAGGCCTTTTCTGCATCTATTGAGATAATCATGTGTTTTTGTCTTTGGTTCTGTTTATGTGATGGATTATGTTTATTCATTTGTGTATGTTGAACCAGCCTTGCATCCCAGAGATGAAGCTGACTTAATTGTGGTGGATAAGTTTTTTGATGTGCTGCTGGATTCGTTTTGCCAGTATTTTATTGAGGATTTTTGCATCGATGTTATCAGGGATAGTGGCCTGAAGTTTTCTTGTTTTGTTGTGTCTCTTCATGATTTTGGTATCAGAATGATGCTGGCTTCATAAAATGAGTTAGGGAGGAGTCCCTCCTTTTCAATTGTTTGGAATCATTTCACAAGGAATGGTACCAGCTCCTTTTTGTATTTCCGGCAGAATTCAGCTGTGAATCTGTTTGGTCCTGGGCTTTTTTTTTTTTCTTTTTTTGGTAGACTATTAATTACTGCCTCAATTTCAGAGCTTGTTATTGATCTATTCAGGGATTCAACTTCTTCCTGGTTTAGTCTTGGTAGGGTGTATGCGACCAGGAATTTACCCATTTCTTCTAGATTTTCTAGTTTATTTGTATAGAGGTGTTTATAGTATTCTCTGATGGTAGTTTGTATTTCTGTGGGGTCAATGGTGATTTGATGCTTATCTCCCTTCTTCTTTATTAGTCTAGCTAGTGGTCTATCTATTTTGTTAATTTTTTCAAAAAACCAACTGCTGGATCGGGTACAGTGGCTCACGCCTGTAATAACAACACTTGGGAGGCCAAGGTGGGCGGATCACGAGGTCAGGAGTTTGAGACCAGCCTGACCAGCATGATGAAACTCTCTACTAAAAATACAAAAAATTAGCCAGGCATGGTGGTGCGTGCCTGTAATCCCAGCTACTTGGGAGACTGAGGCAGGAGAATCACTTGAACCCAGGAGGCAGAGGTTGCAGTGAGCTGAGATCATGCTACTGCACTCCAACCTGGGCGATACAGCAAGACTCTGACTCAAAAACAACAACAACAGCAGCTCCAGGATTTGCTGATTTTTTTGGAGAGTTTTTCATGTTTCTATCTCCTTCAACTCTTCTTTGATCTTGGTTATTTCTTGTCTTCTGCTAGCTTTTGGATTAGTTTGCTCTTGCCTCTCTAGCTCTTTTAATTGTGATGTTAGGGTGTCAATTTGAGATCTTTCTAGCCTTCTTATGTGGGCATTTAGTGGTATAAATTTCTCTCTTACCACTGCTTTAGCTGTGTCCCAGAGATTCTGGTACATTGTCTCTTTGTTCTCATTGGTTTCAAACAACTTCTTGACTTCTGCTTTAATTTCATTATTTACCAAGGAGTCATTCAGGAGCAGGTTGTTCAATTTCCATGAAATTGCGTGGTTTTGAGTGAGTTTCTTAATCCTGAGTTCTAATTTGATTGCACTGTGGTCTCAGAGACCATTTGTTATGATTTCAGTTCTTCTGCATTTGCTGAGGAGTGTTTTACTTCCAATTATGTGGTCGATTTTAGAATAAGTGCTATGTGGCACTGAAAAGAATGTATATTCTGTTGATTTGGGGTAGAAAGTTCTGTAGACATCTACTAGGTCCATTAGATCCAGAGTGGAGTTCAAGTTCTGAATATCCTTGTTAATTCTCTGTCTCATGGATCTGTCTAATACTGATAGTGGGGTGTTAAAGTCTCCCACTATTATTGTGTGGGAGCCTAAGTCTCTTTGTAGGTCTCTAAGAACTTGTTTTATGATTCTGAGTGCTCCTGTATTGGTTGTGTATATATTTAGAATAGTTAGCTCTTCTTGTTGAATTGTTCCCTTTACCATTATGTAATGCCCTCCTTTGTCTTTTTTTGATCTTTGTTGGTTTAAAGTCTGTTTTGTCAGAGACAAGGATTGCAATCCCTGCTTTTTCTGGCTTTCCATTTGCTTTGTATATTTTCCTCCCTCCCTTTATTTTGAGCCTGTGTATGTCTTTGCATGTAAGATGGGTCTCCTGAACATAGCACACCAATGGGTCTTGACTCCTTATCCAATTTGCCAGTCTGTGTCTGTTAACTGGGGCATTTAGCCCATTTACATTTAAGGTTAGTATTGTTATGTATGAATCTCATCCTGTTATCATGATGCTATTTGATTATTTTGTGCACTAGTTGATACAGTTTCTTCATAGTGTCATTGGTCTTTATATTTTGGTGTGTTTTTGCAGTGGCTGGTACCGGGTTTTCCTTTTCATATTTAGTGCTTCTTTCAGGAGCTCTTGCAGGGCAGGCCTGGTGGTAATGAAATCCCTCAGCATTTGCTTGTCTGGAAAGGATTTTATTTCTCCTTTGCTTATGAAGCTTAGTTTTTCTGGATATGAAATTCTGGGTCGAAAATTCTTTTCTTAAAGAATGTTGAATGTTGGCCCCTAATCTCTTCTAGCTTGTAGAGTTTCTGCTGAGAGGTCCACTCTTAAACAGATAGGCTTCCCTTTGTAGGTAACCTGGCCTTTCTCTCTGGCTTTGCTTTTTTCCTTCATTTTTTCCAGTTTTTTCCAGTTTTTCCTTCATTTCAACCTTGGAGAATCTGATGATTATGTGTCTTGGAGTTGATCTTCTCGTGGAGTATCTTAAGGGTGTTCTCTGTATTTCCTGAATTTGCATGTTGGCCTTTCTTGCTAGGTTGAGGAAGTTCTCCTGAATAATATCCTGAAGTGTGTTTTCCAGCTTATTTCCGGTCTCCCTGTCTCCTTCTTGTACTCCAATCAATCGTAGCAGAACCGTCACTTTGGAATTAGATAAGTGTGTGTTTCAATCCTGAATCTACTACTTATCAGTGGGTGATCCTGGAAAGATTACTTCATCTTCTATACTTCAATTCCCTCATCTTAAGATATGGATAATAAGGATTACTGCTGGATGGGGTGATGAGTTAGTAAGATAACACATGCAAGCACTTAGCACAATGTCTGGCACTTAACAAGCACCCAATAATGTTACCCATTACTGTTGATGCTTCCTAACTTTCCTTTAACTATCTTCATTTCCCATCTGCAAACAACCTGGAATGCCTTGATCACCATTCTACCTTCTTGTTTAACCATTATGTAACAGCTTTTAACAATTAATCCATAATCAACAGTCTATAGGTTAACATACCAAAACAGAGATACTGTATACAAGAGATGCACCCCAGTTTTACCAAGGGGACAAAGGCCCAAAAGTTTTAGCTTCTTTTGAAGGATGGAAAAACCAGAACAGTAGTTCTTCTCATCTACATTTTCCAGTTCAGTCACTCTGCCAGAGTAGAAATGCAAATTATTTTTCAAGAAAATCAACTGTTGGAGCAGCTAGCTACTAGACAAGCAGCCAACAAGAGTCTCTATTTTTTTTCCCACCATATGATCCTGGTAGAAAGTTACTGCAGAGCATATACACTCAATCAGGTTACTAGGAACCACCTAAAAGAGCAAGGTAAGTACACAGGGGTCTTTTGTTTTTTTTCTCAATCAACAGATCTATTAAGCCAATTACTCTTTCTTAGTCTTCATTTATTCGTCTATAAATTAAAGACATAAGACCAGATGATGCCTAATATCTTTTCTATCTTAAGGAATTACAAATTCCTTAAGAATTAAAATAAAACAAGTTGGAACTAGCCTTAACTATCCTAATTTTATCAGTTTTTAATATTTTAAAAATTTAAATATTTTATTATTTATATATTTTAATATATTTAATATAAATAATTTTATTTAATATATTTAATATAAATAAAATATTTTATTTAATTATTTAAATATTTTATTGTTTAAAATTTTTAACATTTTATTTTAATAAAATAAACATTAAGTACAAATGAACTTCATAAAATACTGGTCCCAATGACAAGTTCTTTCCTACTGTGGCAATAGGGTGAAGACTACTGGCTAAGAAAATATTTGATAATCTTTGTGATCACAGTGTTCAGCTTCTGCTCAAGCCTCCGACACTGGCCAATGTCCACTGACCAATGTCTATCTGGAGCTGTAAAAGTAATCTCTTCTTAAATATTTGATGTCGTGTTCCCCTTTGGTCTTCTGAACAAATTCAGTGACTCCTTTTCCTTTCACAGGTGTATCTAAATCTCCTTATAGGTATATATTTTCCGTGTTTACTGTGACTTCTCTAGTTTTCAAACTCTGTATCTGAATCCTTTCAAATATATTTTTAACTTCCTTCATTGCTCCTTTTTCTAAATGTATACTTGAATCACTTTTCAAATGTATATTATCAGCCTTCTGCAGTAGGATTACTTATGAGTACAAAGGCCTCCCTTCTGTGGATCTCAAAATAATTTCTGGAAAGGTGTATGTAGGGAAATCTTAATTTGTATAAGAGAGAACCTGTAAAATTGAGGTATAAGAACCGAAATGTGGCTGTAGTCACTCTTTTTATTTTTCCTACAGGCAGATCCCTAGTAAAATAGCAAAAGCCATAATTAAAATAATAAAATGTCTGTCGTCTTTTCCTCACTAAAATGAAGTACTCTGTCTACTAAGCTACATATCAGAAATGGAAAATGTGGTGTATCCTACCATCCCCAATCCCATCTGGCTAGGGCAGATGTCAACAGTCAATCAGCAATTTTCCTGCTGAGCTTAGATGGAGTTTACAAACGTTTCATAATAAAGGGCATCAACCGATGGACTTAGTTCAGATTTTACTTGCTATTTTGTTATTATTCAGGCCATGGTTATAATATTGCTCACACATATATATGATAACTCAAAGAGTGTACCTGGATTGTTTGCAATACAAAGGATAAATGCTTAAGGGGACGGATACCCCATTCTCCATATGTGATTTTTATGTATTGTATACCTGTATCAAAACATCTCATGTACCCCATAAATACACATCCCTACTATGTACCTACAAAAATAAAAAAACCATATATATGAAAGATGGTATTTAAAATGATGCTGATACTCACAGCCAATCAGAGGAAACAAACCCAGTCAGGGTATGTGTTTATAGCACCTACCTGGGCACCACTGTCATCTGAACTATCTCCAGAGCTCTGAGACTGAAGGAGGCTCTGATTTATACGGCTCAGCTCTTCTCTAAGCCTCACAACTTCCTCAGGCTTCATGGTCAACTGCTGTTCTTTTTCTTCATCTTTCATATCTCGATTCTGTTGTGAGCCCTCCTCCTTCTGTCCCTCTCTTGGAAAACTGCCCTCCTTTACTGACTCCTCTGGAATTTCCTTCTGCTTTCTTTCTCCTAATTTGGGACTTGGTGCAAATATAAAAATACAATCTATCAAAATGCTTATTATAGTAGTAGAATTGGGAGAAAAAAAGCTACAAGTCAAGACAGTATTGCAAACAAGATTTTCAACCTGAATTCTATAGCACTGCAGTCATCTTATTCTTAAAAATAAACTTCAAAAACATAAGTCAGGCACGGTGGTTCACGCCTGTAATCCCAGCACTTTGGAAGGCCGAGATGGGTGGATCACCTGAGGTCAGGATACTGAAGACCAGCCTGGCCAACATGGTGAAACCCCATCTCTACTAAAAATACAAAAATTAGCCATGCACGGTGGTGTACGCCTGTAGTCCTAGCTACTCAGGAGGCTGAGACATGAGAATCGCTTAAGCCCAGGAAGTGCAGGTTGCAGTGAGTCAAGATTGTGCTACTGCACTCCAGCCTGGGTGACAGAGTGAGACTCTGTCTCAAAAAATAAAAAATAAAAGAAAACCCACAAATGAGTCATATTTTTTACTTACACTCAGGGAGATGACCCATCATAGGTTTTCATTTATAGCCAAACCACCAGTTTAAATGAGTTTTGTGCTTTTTCAACTTTTAGTATGGCATTGAGCAGACACAGGTTATAAGGATTTTAATAAGCACTGGCCACTTTGGCAGGCACTAGGGCTTCAGGAGGACATGATCTCTGTCCCAAGGAGCTTACAATTTAGTGAGAAATGAGTAGTAAGTAATACAAGGCCTGATGGATGAGTAGGCACAAGCTAAACAAATGTAAAGGGAGGAAGGAGTGTGTATGTACTTGCATGTATGTATGGATGTTGGGGAGGGTGGGTGTTGGTATAAATGAGAACATGAACAAGCAAAGGTGTTCCAAAATGATTTAATAAATAAGATATGTAAAACCCCAAAGTAAAAGAGAGAAGGTGCTTTAGAAAGATTATTTAGACGCCATGTGGCAGGGAAACCATTTGAGAGACTGTTGTAATAATCCATGTAATAAATAACAATAAATAGAACTATGATGAATTCTGGAGATATTTAAAAGACAGTATTGATAAGGTTTGTCATTTATTGGATGTGGCAGGTAAGGGAGAAAAAGGAATCATCATGACACCAGGATTTCTGACTTGGGCAAATGGGCAAGTGGATGGTAGACCAACATGGGGGAATGTGGCCATAGACTGACTACAGAGATGTCTGTGGTGAGGATACAGACACAGAAGAATGTGAGCAGAAACACTGGGATTGGATAAAATGAACCAGGGAGAAGGGGGAAAGTAAGAGGAGGCAGATCATCCTAGAGAGAAGCCTAAAAACTTGTAAGGAACAAGCAGAGGAGGTGAAAGCCACAGAAACCAAGAGGAGAGAATGCGCCTTCAATGATTAGAGAGTGTAGATGACAAGGAGAATGAACACAAATATGCTGGTTTTATTTTTATTCCCTCAATCTTAAATTTTGTTTTGAGTACCTTGAAACCTAGCACAGCATGCTTCATAGATTATAGCTGGTGATCAGATTCTTCAACAAAGCAATTTGGCAGTACAGATCAAGAGCCATGGCCGGGTGTGGCGGCTCACGCCTGTAATCCCAGCACTTTGGGAGGCGAGGTGGGCAGATCGCCTGAGGTCAGGAGTTCGAGACCAGCCTGGTCAACATGGCAAAACCCTGTCTCTACTAAAAATACAAAAATTAGCCAGGTGTGGTGGTGCATACTAGTAGTCCCAGTTACTTGGGAGGCTGAGGCAGGAGAATCTCTTGGACCCAGGAGGCAGAAGTTGCAGTGAGATGAAATTGCACTATTGCACTCCAGCCTGGACGACAGAGGGAAACTCTGTCACCACACACACACACACAAAGTCATAAAAATGTTCATACTCTTTGAATAATTGCATCTGAATGAATTTACTGCAATAAAATAATTAATAAGAAGAAAAAAGATGACTACAATAATGCTGATACTAAACAGATATGGAAATGGCTAAAAGAATTAAAGATGCTTCAACTTAAAAGTGACCTCAAGAGTATTCATAAACATGAAAACTACTTATCAAAGTAAAATTGTGGCACAAAAACCAATAAACATATATGTATTCATGTGTGTATATACATACATATATACACACTATGGGAAAATGTCTAGAAAAAGCTGGAAAGGAACAGGGAGAAAAATTGTATCTAGGGAGTGCTTTATTCCTTTTAAAATTCCTCTAATACTATAAAGAAAATAATTAAATATTTTATTTTGAATTTAGCAGTTTTAAAAAGACAATATATTCAAATGATGCAAAACAGTATGAGATAAAGGGTAAAATGCCTTAAAATTTTTTTTATAAAACAACAACGAAAGTTTCCATCATTTATAAACCCCTTTCCGTTTCTTATATCCAGTGGAAGCTAGACACACATTAAGACTGGGAAAATGCAAATGTATACCGTGTGTGTGTGTGTGTGTGTGTGTGTGTAGTCTCACTCTGTCACCCAGGCTAGAGTGTGGTGGGGCAATTATAGCTCACTGCAGCCTTGAACTCCCAGGCTCAAACAATCCTCCTGCCTCAGCCTCCTGAGTTGCTTGGATTACAGGTGTAAGCCACTGCACCAGTAGTTTCATATTTGTTTTAAATGGAGAAAATGGACTTTTTCTTTGAAAAAGATGAAGTAGACACACTTTCCCCCTATTTTTACCATTAAGTACAACTAAAGACCCTGAACATTATATATAAAACAAACATTAAAAGACTTCGAAAGGTGGAGAGAAGAAAGCAGACCAGCTAGGGAACTCAAGACCCAAGGAATGACATGGCTGTGAGTTTCCTGGGTGTTCTTTTTGCCTCACAGATCCCTGAGTTGGAGCTGAAGAAGACAGCAACCCAGACAATGTCAACAAGCACAAGCAAAAGCAGCAACAACAACAACACCAACAAAAGTCTGCCATCTTTAGCCAAAGCACCAGAAAAGGCCAAGGAAGAAACACAATTTTGGACAACACCTACCTACTCCAGCTGAACATCACAGAAAAAACTGTGGCTTCACCTCCACTCATGCCAGCAAAGCCCAAATTGGGAGCCTAGATTTCCACCCTCACCAGGCTGTAATAAGGGATTCCAATTCCTCGAGTGGGGTGGTGTCAGAGAAGGTCAAGTAGGCACAAGGGACTTTTATCCCTGCCGGATAGTAAAGAGCTCCCCTACCCTGCAGTGTGAGGGGAGACCAGGTGGGGAGTTTGGAATTCCAACCCACGTGGAAGTGAGGAGGCACACTTCTCCCTTTCCACTGGGGTGGTGTCAGAGGAGGCCACCACCTAGCACAATAAGCCACCCCCACCCACCTGCCTTGTGGTATCAGTGGCAGCCCCGTGAAGAGAAGTCGCAAGGCATTCCTCCCCTTCTCAGCCAGGTGCTGTAAGTGGAGGCTACTGGACAACAGGAACTCCCACCCTCACCAGCTGTAATAAGGAATGTTTCCTTCTGCAATTACCTCAAAATAATTTTTAAAAATCTTTTCATTTAAAGTATATTTTTCCATTTAAAAAATGGAAAATCCATGAACTGGTCCTTTAAGTTTAATATATATGAAGGTGCTTCATTTGTCACATTAAGAAGAATGAATGACTTTATAAAGACCAGACTTAACCAGACCAATTTAATTTCCTTATAGAAGAACACAAGTGGCCTTTGTTATGTTTCCATAGTTTAAAGATAAGGTTTAAGTGTCCCTCCTCTTTGGTGGGTCCATGAGATGTGCCTGTACAGCCACATTCAGAGCACATGGCAGTCAAGGAGTTTTCCCTGACTTGGAAGGAATGAGCAGTGCTCTCCAGGATACAATTCTGGGCTAATGCCATTTTACATTTTTATTAGTGGCCTGGATAAATAAATTGCATTCACATGAATCAGTTAATTAGTAAATTAAGGAGAACTAGCAACACCTGGGAATACAGGGATTTAATATTTAAGTGATATTGATTCAACAGGATAAGAATCCATGAAAATAAATGCTCCCCAAAAAGAACAGAATTTGGCTAGGTATAGTGGCTCATGCTTGTAATCCCAGCACTTGGGGAGGCCAAAGTGGGAGGATCGCTTGAGCCCAAGAGTTCGAGACCAGCCTGGGCAACATAGGGAAAGCCCCATCTCTACAAAAAAATTTTAAAAATTAGCTGGGTGTGATGGCATGTGCCTATGTGCCTGTGGTCCCAGCTACTCAGGAGGCTGAGGTGGAAGGATCACTTGAGCCCAGGAGGTCGATGTTGTAGTAAGCTGTGATGGCACCACTGCACTCCAGCCTGGATGACAGAGCAAGATCCAGTCACACACACACACACACACAACAGAATTTATCCTTCAAAAGGTATAAGAGAAAATGTGTATACTTAGAAACCAAAGAAAGGCTGAACAGATTTTTTAAAAGTAATACCTAATAGTATGTATTACTTTACTATTATGTTCACATAATAACAGTATTGCATTAAAGTTGTGTGGGCAAAAGCAGACTATCAGCCAAAAAATTATATGGAGTTGAGAACATGTCCTATAGCCAGCACATCTGCATCTTAGGAACTGGAAAACCCACCATGACTCTCAAATTTTTGCTTCCTCCTGTTGCAGTTCTTAAGTTTTAATTGGAAGGGTTTATTACCTAGTTCTTATTGAAACACCTCCCTTCTCCCCGCTTCTGTTTTTTTACATCATTCAATACTTTTGCAATTGTCACCAGTCTTCAGCTGGTGGGAGGTATCTAGGCAGCATCCCTATCCTATTCCTTTTCTAGTAGCATACGTGCATAGCAGTCTCAAACATATACAGATTCAAGAAAGAGCACAGTACAGTAGAAACCATGAGCGCTAGTCCTGTATCTTCCACCTACTATTTACGTAACCTTCTACAAGGCAGAATCACTCAGAGTCTCAATCTCTTCATTTGCAAGATGCTCTTTCCTTTCTCATAAGCTTTTTGGGATCTTTTGAAGTAAAATGTAAAAGCATTTTGAAAACCTACAAGTATAAGATATCATTAAAGT